GAAAGGTTTTGTCAACCGTGGATAAATTTACGTTGCGTATTCACAAATGCCGAAAACAGCTGAAATTTCCCGATATACACGGCGCTATCGTTCGTCCGCGTATGCTCGAAATCGTAGATATCTTGGAAAACAATCGCGTCTTAAATAAATTGTTCGCGAGGTACATCGATCTTCCTTACTCGTTTCGACTGGTATTATCGACGAAAGTTAAAGGATCCAATATGCTACTTTCCATGGTACGAACGCGTCCAAATAAACATTCCACCGAACGTCGATTCTAACGTACTAAAATGACGCGTTGTTTAGGCTTCCTAGTATCGATATATCAGTGACCTGTTATATCGATCAACTCTAGTACTCTCGTAGAAGGTATAACCTACCGTGATCGATCAAGGAAACTATCTTGACAACACGAAATAGAAATTTTTACGTACGAACGATAACGATTTATATTTACGCGTTTGTTTATACATAATATAACACAGTGAAATATAATCAACGAACGCGATACTACAGACTCTATGAACATAAACCTACATAAAGATTTCCTATAACAACCATCAATTTTCTTAATCTTCGAACTCGTTAAAACAGCCCTTCTAACAAGGAAGAAAATTACGAATAACGAGCTTTTCCGCCGCGAGTTTTAAGCGCGATCCTTCCACCGTAGAATGGACGTGACGTCCGAAGAACGGCGGATGTCGCGTGCGCGCGCAGACCGTGCATGATGGCCGCCGCGTTCGATCCCGTTGGTGGGGAAGCAAGCGAGTGGGGGAAGAGAGGTAGGGAAGGATTCGCTAGCGAAGAAACGATAGGTCGCAGGAAGGGGTGGGTAACGATACCATCGTGAAAGCTATTGGCAGGACTTCCATGGACCTAAGCTCTGCCGCACGAAAAATAAGGGCGGCCATCATGGATTTCAACATGGCCGTTGCCGCCTCGAACAGAGCGTGTCCTAACTTCCTTCGATCGTTTCTCCATCGTAGAAAACGAATCGAATCGACTAACGCCACGTATAATCTCCATCGGGGAATAACGATGCGTGGAACTTATCGCGAATTTTAATTTGAAACTTTTTTACGAAAATGGAGTAAAGTTGGAAATTATCAGCGTGATAATTGTATTATCGTTTTAGGAAACGGCTCGTCTCGTTTAGAAACTATATTACGTTTCGTGGCGCGCGTTACGTATGGTCTCATATACGATTTACGAGCAATTAACGAAACGATTAGGTATATCACTGAGAAACACGGGTTTGGATCGGTAAACTCGCGAACTGCCGTAAGAAAACAGGTAAACCAAGCCTACACCTGTTTGTTGGCCGCCGTAAAAATTGTAAGATCTTTACACAAACCGAATGATTCGTGCATCCTAAACGCAAAGACAACAGTCGTAAATTTTTAGTATCGCCTGCTGCATTTGCTCGGTCAATACTTAATTCATTCACCACGTTCCCGTTAACTATTTGGTCAACAAATTTCCACTCTACTTCCAACGACTATCGTTTAAGACTATTTTTTAAGACCGTGTTTCATCCTTACTCGCACGGGTAACAGGCACGGGTAACGTGAAAAGGATTCGCGATTCTTCCACCCATGCGAAAGCTTTCTTTTCCACGCAATTATATTCCTCGAACGTTCAAAAATATCCCCAATCTGATTTCGACAAAAATACGAAAAGACCGTGTATCGGTATACCTGGTGTCCCGTCTCTATCGTACGTTGAACGTCTATCGCGCGAAACGAGAGCGCAAGATGGCTAACGCAACGGTGCTGCATTTCGATTTTACGTTCAGCGCGGGCGAATAAATTTCGAAAAAGTTTGGAATTCGTGGTACCCGGCGAAAGGGAAGGTTCGCGCGACCCGAACGAAACAATTTCATTTACGCGACACCGGAGTTCCGCGGGACGAGAAACGAGAATCATCGTTCACCTGTTCATAAGGTCAATAGGTAATGCGATAACGACCGTTCATAATGGTTACGGACGAAGGAATTACCGTGCAAACCGACACTTAAGGTTTATCGTGTCTCTTACCACCGAGTTATGTATACTGTTCTCTTAAAAGTGAACGGTAGTGAGTTGTAACGAGATTATTGACTTTAAATCCTCACGAATGACCCTATAGGAGATTGAAGCTACAAATATATTACCAATACCAGCCGGCCTAACGCCGCGGTCGCGTGCGCCGCTTGCATACACAAATCATTTTGCCACTTAACGTCGGAAAAATGTGCAAATAAACAAATCGTCTTGGCGTCTTTCCTATACGCCGTCGTATAACCGCTCCTCTAAACTGGTCTTAATCGCGTTAATCGGTCAAGAACCCGTTCGAATTAACCGCGTTTCGTCCTTTTCTTTCCTACAGAAGAAGCTTCGATCGTGCTATCGACGATTAAATTAATCGAAATTAGCGAGAAACTGCAACTAGGTACGAACGATTCGTTACCAGTGGTCGCTGTTACGAAACGAAACGAAGATCGCGATATCCTGCGATGAAACGATCTCGTAAAATATCCGTACAAAGTGCGGCGTGTCATGCGCTCGACCTTCTACGGTATAAAATGGACAATTTCGTCAAGTTCAGTTTCGTTGAACCATTTTAACCAAAAACGTAACTACGCCACGACCCCAACGAGCCTACCGGGCACTGTTATGGGAAAGAATGCTAATAGTTTCCTACGATAATTCGGAGGTCCAATGTCGAGGGATACGCCGGTTTGTGTGAAACGGAAACGATGGAATCATCGTTTTCGTAGACCCTTGCCAGAGATCAACGATGTTCTTCCTGTAACGAAAACGTACTCGCAACGCAAACCACGTCGATCTTGAGTTTAGAAAAATTAGCTCCAGGCACCGTGCTAATCGTTTCTACGTACAACATTCGACGAACTTTGTGTGGCGACAAGGACTATGGAACTTTCTAACGGCTCCGCGATACAAAACGCGACACGACGCACTCAATCTGTCATCGATATCCTCACGCTCCTTCAGCCGAATTTCTCTGAAGGGCATGCAGGCGCCAGCCACGACGGCACTTATAACGAACGCACGCCAGTGGGGATATCGATGGGCAACGGAAAAAGAATCAGTTCGGTCGAAAAAATAAGCACATTCGACCACGAGCAGCGCGACGAGAAAGACGAAAGAAACGGGCACGTTTTTATCGAGAAATCAACCGAACGACGCTATTGTTTATCGACGTTAACGATCAGCCGATGTTAATTGCAAATTGTCAGTTGTTGTTATTTGTTTAATAAACGTTATTGGTTAAATATCACCTAGTGTACTTCAATACCTATTACACCATTTCACCTCATTTGAAATGCGCGTCGGACGTTTCGAAAAATACTCGAAGAAGAGGAAGATTAAAGACGCTCGGGCATAGAAACGAAGCAAAGTTGGCGTATCAGACGGTCTTACGCGCAGCGATCGAAGATAATTTCCGTCACGAAGCACGCAGATATATCGTTTATTGCCATACGGCAATAAAGATTTCGCGCATTCTCGTTGAAATACGTTCGGTCTGGACGTGCAGGCGATCAGCCGAATCTATCGGCGGCCGTGTGCATTGATAATACGCTGGAAGGAAGAAGAGAAAAAAAATACGCTTTTTGAGATACGCGGACGCGAACGGATGACGTCAGACGGCAATAAAATTGCGGGATAGCAACGAGTATCGCGAAGCGCGATTCGAATGGACGCCGAGTGTAATTTCAAAGGAAGGTCGAGCGATAATATTTTTCGATCTGCAGCGATTAATTGCTATCGCGAGCCGAGCAGACTGCTTGGCTATAAATCGACGATAGAATTCGCGATAATTGCTATACGATTTAAACAATGCGTAATCGACACCGTCCGGTAAATCAAAGCGCTACGAATCGAATTATGTCATATTTCTGCACATTATTGATAGACCGCGGATTTGCATCTTATATCTTCGTAAACGGAACCGAAGAAATCGAACCGTGGATAGAGAGATTTGTTCGTCCTGCGAGCGTTATACCCAACGTACGACGCGACTTACTCGGATACGGCAAAGAAACGTTATACGCATCGAAGATTAAGAATTAAGGGGGAAAAGAAATTGGCAATTGGACGAGCCGAGCGAGAATATCAAGTCCAACTCTGTTTGAGGGTAGATCTGAACGGCGAAGATAACAGCTACGCTTTACGAAGCTTAAAACGCTTCGAGTTGCAAGCGAGTAAAGTCGATGATCTCGCGTCCTCGTGGCCATCCATCGTTAGGAAGACTCGAAGACAGCTACCAGCTATGGTGGAAATTCGATCGTGCGAGTGGAAGAAAGGAAGGACAACGTGGCGGGAAATCGTCGAAAAATCGGCGTCCTCCGACGAATATGCGAGAGATGCGTGGCGATCGACGAAGAAGCGCGTTCCGTTATGTGTAGAGATTCGACGACGGCGGTTTACACAGAGTGACTCTATCCTATCTCCGGAACTGTTGCCTAATTGCCAAAGCAAACACGCGGATGGGAAAGTCTAACGCAGAGGTGCAGCGACGACCGACGCCTGGGATCGGTCAATTTTGTTTCTCGCTGGCCGCACGCGGTCACATCCGGCGATGTTGGCGTTAGAATTCGCACCTTCGCGGAAATTATCAGCAGCGAATCCGTTAATAATACGATTACATGTTACGAAAGAGAGACACGTGGCGCGTACACGCGGAGCACCTACGATCGTCCTCTCGATGTTTGTCACCAGTTTGACCAGTTGTTCGCGGCGGTCTCGCACGACACAGCGTTGTTTCCACGTTAACACCTCGAGCGTGAAATAACGTTGCCGTTCGTTTGCTCTTGCCGCGGGATTACCGTGAGACAATGACGTTATCGTACGTAACGCGAACGAACGGTTAATTACAGCGAGTTTGTACGGAAAGGCTTGTAAAGATTCGATTAAATTCGAGCATGGAGAGAAAAAAGCTTCGATATAAAATATATTTCTTATCCTAAAGGCGGTATAATACTATTTTTGAATGATTACCTCAGCCCTGAGTCGCTGGACGAACCATCGGACCACGTGTCAAACGGACGAACGTCGATATTCCAAGAAGATCACAGCCGGGCCGACGTATCACTGCAAACAGCGTGTTTCTCACTCACACTTCTGTCCCGGCCATTTCTCGAAACAACGAATCGACCAAGACCGAACCCGTGCGTTATCTGCTTCGTAAACCTACATTACGCGGCGGATCCGTCGTCTGAAATGTCAGTTATCGTCCAACTACCTTCTCCATGTCGTTATCACTCGACTTGCCGCCACTCGCACGAAACAACAAGGTATCGTCGTAACGAAGGCCACTCGATTCTCGTCGAAAAGAACGATTACAGTTAGCGGGAATGGTCGACGATCAAGGTCCCGATACACGGAGTGGAAACAACGCGGCGGAAAAAGACAGAGAGCGACAGAGTGGAAGAAAAGAAAGGAGAAAGAGGGGCAAGGCGGAAGCAGCGACGTCGCGGTTGCCAGAGATGCGCTTTCCGCTATCGTTCGTCGGTGGATCGGCGCGGGAAAAAGAAATTTGCCAAAGGTACTCCGCAGCACGTCTACGAGAACGTGAATTACAAAAGGAAGAGGTGCGCGCCTGCGTGTCGCCAACAATGTACTCCGCTGTTACTTTTCGAGCGCATAACAATGGACCACGTTGGTGAAACGGGACTCATGGTTTCTGGATGGGACGTACCGCGCACTGAACCAGTTGTTCGGTCGCGCACATTCTACGCCCCACTCTTTCAACTTCCCCTCCCTCTTCCATTCTCCACGCGATATTCCGCAGTGTTTCTCCCTACCACCGCGACCGAACAGCCGATGAACAACTTCGAATACCGATCCCCACCATTTGCGTCCACGTTTCACCCTACCACTGGTAGCGACTCGCTCCTTGGATCAGCAACCTTTTGCTTCGACGCATCGCGTCGCATCGCTACGACCGACCGGAATCCTCCCCACCACCGATACGCCGATTGCTGTTCCACCGGCTCTGTATACCGGGTGTGCGAAAACAACATCGACGTACGACCGAGTACGTTCGTGTTCGGTTACTACCTAGCGATAGCGAAACATCTCCAAAGAATCGCGACAACGAAGCTGAACGTTTATATGCGTATGGAACGCGTATCCGATCTTAAAAACCTATCCTGCAAAATTAAATCGATCGAATATCGATCCTAGCATCCTATCGATCCAGTGTAACTTGCTTCTCTTCCCAAGTCGGTCTAAAAGCGAGCTTGAAAGTTTATAGACATGGCAAATGCGATCTTAACGATCGATTCTGCAACGTAATTTGAGCTTTATAAATACACCAAATGTACAACAAATACGCAAAATATACCAACTTGACGGTCGACTCGATATAGAAAACTAAGCGATCGATCGAAGATGATTGATAATTATATAGAAAACGTAAATGGCAGAAATAGGAGATTTTGAAAGTCGTGTTGTACGAACGGCGATTTTCCGTTTGCCGGAAAATATCCTTTGAAGAGAGAATTTAAACGCGAATGACGAAACGACAGATGTAGAACGTAATTCTGTCCTTTCGTATTCTGGGAACGAGTCACGCGATTTTAAGGGTAGAAAAGCAGAGATACTTAGCGTGTCAACTTTAAATAAAGACGTACGTTTTCCGTAACCCAAAGATAGATGTATTTTTAACGCGCGCAAGTGGACGACCCTTAATCGACGCCATTAAAATTCGTCTAGATCCTGTGCATCCCTCCTCGCACTCGAAAGCAGACGTCCGCGATTGGAATGGCGACCTTTTTCCACGCTCGACTAATTTTAAAAAAGTCAAACCTGTTTTCTAACTACCTCGAGGTTGGGCCAACCCCGATCGAAGGCGACGCAAATGTCTATTCCACAGGGTGTGGTTTCTCTAGAATCGACTTTCGACCAGGGTGGATATTTATATCCTCGGCTAACGAGTAAAAGAAGAATCCATAATTCTATTTCTACTTGCCAGCCATTCGCCTAAAACTTGACATTCTTTCTAATAAAGAAAGCTTCGATAAATTTTTAACGATTCGGATAGATTAATAAATCGGTCGAAGAAAGAGACGATCTCTTTCAAACGGCGTATTTTCTCATCGTATCGCGTTCTATTTTTAATGTTAATTCGACTGCACTAGGAAGAAACACATTGTCTTGATTCTTCGCGTTCCACTGGTTTTATTATTCACGCCATCGCTGATGTCGGCGTTGCTCTTTTTTCACTTTTCTTTCTTTTCTTTCTCAACCTTCGAACGAACGGAACGCTCTCACGCAGAGTTCGAGCTCGCGAGGGGGTTTGACACTTGAAATAAAATACGAGCCAGTTCTGTCTCGTGTCACGGGCCGCGCCTACATATCCAGTAGAGTTGGATACGAAATACAAAACAGTCGTATACACGTATCGTTCGTACACACCGAAATTTCTTTGTAAATATATCCAACGCTATTTTCATCTAAAAATCCACAAGGATAAAGATTCGAGTCCGCTACAATACCGAAAATAATTCGTTAATAGGATTACTGCTGTTTTCGATTCTCAATCGTGTTATAAATCGTCCTAATGATTACATCCGAGATAAAAAGTGGCATGTTTAAAAAAAAAGAAAAATATTAGACATTCCGACACGCCGTCGATCGTTAAAACTCTGGCGAAAAAGCTCCGATCTATCGGAGAAAAACATTGGAGTGGTCGAAAAAGACAGCGACGAATACCGCGACGTTGGTTGTCGAGAGGACATAGTGCTCGTACGGAGAAGAGAAAAAGGGAGATTCGAGGAAAAAGAGGGGGAAACGACGATACAGGAAAGCAAGCTGCGGAGGTTACCTCGTGCTGGGTACCGAATCGATCTCTCGGAGCCAGCCAAAGCCCCGGGTACGACTCGCATCCCCTCTTATTCCTCTTCGTTGCTCATCTTGCACGCAGACGTGCAGGATACGCGAGACACGCGTGCACAACTTCTTCTGTACGCTATAATTTACAAGTAGTCGATCGTTGCGCTTCCTCGAGCAGGTATTACACGACACTAAAGTTCGAAATTCGCGATGTTTGCGTATCAACTTCAGCCGCGTCTCGAAAAAACGTTCGCTGGAAGAAGACAGTAGAATCGCCAATCTTTCTTACGATTATCGCATTATTGTATTTATCCCCACGTTAATGGGAGCTTTAACAACTTCAAAGACGATAAGACGATTAAAGATGTGTACCGAAAGAACCTAATTGATAAATAAATCGATATAAAGGATTTGGAAGTTTTTCAACGAACGCGCATGGTCAGCCTGGTTTTTGGAGAAAGATCTGCACAGAGTCGCAAATCGTTTGGCGAGTGACAAGATCTCAGCCGGACGAAAGAAACGATTATTCGCACGTGGACACGCTGTATGCGGAAATGCTCGGGTTATTCGTGAATTAGTTAGATCACTTGGCATTGTGCAGGTACGAGCGGTCAAGCATGAAACGCTAAGATACAAACAGCAAGAGTTGTTATATTTATCGTGATACTCAAACCCTCTTTACGATCTATTAAGCACCACGTCAAACATTACGTGTCGGGTCTACGACAGCGGATCTTTTCTGCAGGTATTGCATTGAAACGCTCGATTACGGTCCCAAACTCTTTCTAGTTCTCCGTTCGGTCCATACGTATCGTGCCGGACCGTAGTCGTCGCTTTCATCCTTCACAGCGATCGTTATTTAGTGGATCTCGGCAAATATTCTTTATCGATAGTAACGCGTAAGTATCTAATAGGTTATGGAATATTTATTCCGCTGTAAATAAGGATAGTCATTCGCCGTATTAACTGACAAACTTGAATTTTACGTACACTCGATTTTTGACGACAGGTACGTGTTAAATGAAAGAAACGAAAAATGAAAGGTAATTCGAATTATTTACGATAGATTCGTGCGAGAGAGTGGGCGATTAAGACGTCAAAAGGAATCGATTCGCGACAATTCAGCGATCGCGGGCTGCGTAAAAACGAGACATGAAATATAAATGGGTTGATTTAAAGCGGTAGATTATCACTTGGCGAGCGTAACTTATCGCGTCTAACCGAAGGAACATTAACTGTACCGGCGGAGATAGCGACGAAGCCCGCGAGCGAACGCGCTTATGCGCCTATTTCTATTTAACTTCTTAATTAACATAAGCGCGCAACTTCATTATTGCCGTCACACGCGAGCCTATTCACGTTCAATGGAAAACGCGAAGCCTTTGTAGCGTCTCCCCGTCTCTTGCACCTGCTATTCCAAGTCCTCGCTCACCTGACGCCTAGTGCCTGGCATAATGAGCACGTGCCGTTTCTTTACTCTGTTCCGATGTATTCTTGTGTTTCCAAGCACTTTTCGACGTTACATACGTTGCTCGAAATACTCGAACAATCTCGAATGGCTTTATCACGTCGAGTTAAGTACTTTAGAATACAGTAGCAAATCCTCGGTGTCTCCTGACGTATGACTCACTTTTTCGAAACATTTATTATCACGAGTGGACGCTTCTTTCTCATTTCAAAGATCTTTCCATAAATCGGCAATGTTATTATTCGGCTTATCAGTCCAACTGCTCAAGAAATAAATTATTTAGCTACACTTATCCGGTACTTACTCGCTACAAGTCTGAGGATATTTATGCATTTACAGGACATTTGAAAGTACAATAGACAAATTATAAAGCAACTCGTTGTAACACCTAATATGCGAAAGAAATCTCTGCTTAGGCTCCATCGTTTCAATTTTATTCGCGGCAATGAAAATTTACGCAAAGGTACGCGATCTACCTATCACGAAAAATTCCATAAATAATCATAAATTTTAAGCGAAGAAATTTTACCAAGTACTATAACTTTCTACTAAGTACTATATTACTATTCCACTTTCACAATTTATGGAACCGATTAGTATAGCTTCTGAACGGTTCCTGTTGCCTCAAGGTTTCTCCGAGTAACTCCTATCCTCGATACATTCTATGAAACGTTCTTAAACAGTGGCCAAACCGAATGGATTGTCCTGCTACCTAGGAAAGGATTGCGGTTGAACTGTTGTCGGAAATGGTCACGGATTTCGAGAGAAACCGAGATTCGAGACGAAAGAATAAAGAACGACCTTGTAGAAATTTAGACAAGCCTTCGTCGTGCGAGTGCTTCCGCCTTTGTACAAAAAAAGAAAAAAGGAAGAAAAAAAGACTGCGGCCCGAAATGCTACAATTCTCACGACGGAAAGTGAAATCCGGCCACGTGAATTCTCGGTGAAACGTCCCACATTTTTAGGAGAAACGTGCCAATGATCGTGCCTCGTACTCACAGCGAGACGCGTACGCTGCGCGATGGACGAAGCGGTAACCAGAATTTTTCAAAACTTTTATTCAACTCGGAGCTTCGCAAAACCCTTTCCGCTGATTTATAAAATGTCGGTGAAGGGACAATGGGTATCATTGGACGCGCATTGTTTTTACGACATGTTATTGCACGATTTGCTTCGATAGCGGCCGGTCGTTTCGTGCGTACGTAATCTGGTCGATTAAACGGTCGTGACTGCGGCGGAACAGGTGCTAGAACCAAAGTTATTGTCACTGTAAAAGATAACGATGCTCATGTATCATTCGCCGAACTTCAACGCGCGTACTTTTGCTTTCTTCCCGCGGCACTGTCGTTCGATGCAGCGGGTGAAAGAACGTTGTCGAATACCATCGTGCACAGTGTTAAGTTTTATCACACCTGTTGTGCGATGTATCCACATATAGAACATCACGTGACGGAACGTTCTTGTATTATTAACGTCGTAAAAATAAGCGAATGTTGTATCAAAAACGATTTAAATTTCCCGTTAAAAGTGCAGATTCTTCGAGGAAACACGCGATACCTTATCAAAATTAAATACGCTGCTTGTCAATCGATATCAAGCACGACACTTTAACAGGCACTTTAAAAGTATTCGATCGACTATTACAGATTTCTGTGATGCGGTAGAAATTGGATACTGCCGTAGATAGACATAGAAACTTGAATTCAACGTTG